CATTATCTTTATTATTATTATTATTATTTTAAAAACAATAATAATAATAATTATTATTATTATTATTCTTATATAAAAAACAAAAAGTAGAAAGAAAGAAGGAGAGAGAGAAAGACAAAAAGAGAAAGAGAGAGATAGAGAGAGAAAAAAAGAGGTAGAAAAGAGAGAGAGAAAGAGGAGAAGAAGAGAGGAGAAAAAAAGAGGAAGAAGAAAAAAAAAGAGGAGAGAGAGAGAGAGAGAGGGAAAGAGAGAGGAAGAGAGGGAGGGAGAGAGGATGGAGCTCACATTACGAAGCAAATTTTCATTCAATTTTAAGAGCTGCTCAATAATTTATATCTTCATTATTTAAAAAAATGTTTTATCCAAATAAATTTTGATTTAAGTTTGTAAACAGCTGAATGATTAAATGAATGAATGAATGAACGAAAGAACGAACGAATGAACGAATGAACGAACGAATGAATGAATGAATGAAAGAAATGAATGAACGAACGAATCAATCAATCAATCAATCAATCAATCAATCAATCAATCAATCAATCAATCAATCAATCAATCAATCAATCAATCAATCAATCAATCAATCAATCAATCAATCAATCAATCAATCAATCAATCAATCAATCAATCAATCAATCAATCAATCAATCAATCAATCAATCAATCAATCAATCAATCAATCAATCAATCAATCAATCAATCAATCAATCAATCAATCAATCAATCAATCAATCAATCAATCAATCAATCAATCAATCAATCAATTAATCAACCAATCAATCAATCAATCAATCAATCAATCATTTTTAATTAACAGATATTATTTTCAAAACAAAAACCAATGCTACAAAAACCAAAATGCCGCTATCACACATTACCACAGTCACCACCAACACTATAGCCACCATAACCACAACAACCAAACTTCAACACCCCAGCCACCACAACCACAATTACCACACATCGACACCACAACCACCACAGCCATCACAGCCACCACGAACACATCAAATGATTGATTGCTTCTGCTCTTACATACATTTCATGACGAAATTTTTAACGATAAGATGATGATGATGATGATGATGATGGTAACAACACGAAAGAAGAATTTAATTTTTAAGTACTTGAAAGGAGGATAAAAATTTATCGACAAGTGGCTCAATTAAGAAGGGGTAAGAATTTTAATTATAATAATAAAAATAATTAATAATAATAATAATAATTTTTATTGTTATTACTATTCAATTATAATTACTACCATATAATATTCTAGTAATAATAACTATTATAATATATTATATTATTCCCCACTTGTCTTTTTTAAGTGTTTCAAACTGACATTAATCGACTTAAATTGGTCTGACCAATTTAACAGTAGTCTCATGTAGTCTGCAAGATCGCCATCGTATGCCATTTATTGTGGCAGAAATACTAATTGAATGCATCCTTTAGAACTAATCCTCTCTTGCTGTACGCTTTCTTCTTTAGGATGTCGAGCTTCGTAGAATATTTTAATTCCTAATTTTAAAACTGTTTTACTTTCATTAAATTTTAATTCATTAACAATTCTTTTTAACGCGTGATTTATGATGAAAATAAAATGATGTTCCCACTATAATAATTATTATTATTATTGTTATTAATATTACTATTATTATGTATTATTATAATAACGATGGGGAGGGGGTAAAATCTCGACTAATACCCGTAGCAGTTAAAGAAGTGGGAGTTGTTAGGGCTGGAGTCGAAGAAAAATCTATAAGAGATACCTGGAAGACCTGGTGGGGTGGAGGGGCCCTCTTAAGTTAGGGACTGCCCACATCTTGAGGGTAGTACTCGCATGGAATGTTGAGGTTTCCAGGTGAAACTTAGATCCATCTATTTATTATTCCAGCTTTGAAAGGCTGTGTGACTTTAAAACTAGGTTATAATACTCTGCTGCTGCCAAGCTGGCATTCCGCTGTGTCGTGATGAACATCTGCATAGGACTGCTATCAAACCGCAATTCGACAGCCCAGGTTCGTTAGTTTGGACATCTCCCCATCGGAGGAGGCTGGAAGTTGTTGGAAGTTGGGTAACGAGAGCTTCCCTAACAAACCTCAATAGAACCTCAGGTAAGCCAGCTGTGAATTTTGACCGTTGAGTAATGGGGATGTCTGGAATGTGCACTTTAATCGCTTTATCTATTGCCCCATGGCATTGGAGCAATGTTGGGTGATTAAAATCGGTTTCTTGTTGACCTGCCGACAGAGCTCTAAGTGTAGGTTTCATCTCCATTGAACCGAAAAGGACCTTGTTCAGTTTGATGCAGCCGCTGTAAGGTTCATTGTGAAGACATCTAATTTCTTCATTTGTGTGCCTTTTCAGGTAGTCGCGAGGTTCGACTCATAACGCTTCCGAGCAGTTTTTGAATAATCTCACATTCAATCCTTCTGATTTAAAAGGGGGTGATGGGTCCTCCGACACGCAGCTACGCATCACACAGGAAGCACGTGATAGGCGGGGATCTTTTTGTCATATTCGAACCCCGTTACTGCGAAAGAGCACCAAGCGACCTTAACCCCTGATGATAATGATGATTCTAAACTTTCAATATGGATAATAATTTTAAATAATAATAATTATGATGATGTTATAGACAATATTAGATGGATTCACTAGTAAATGACACAAAAATAATAAAATATGATAATTATGAAATACAATAATTATGAAACATAATAATTATGAATTAATAGAAGGTTTGGAGTGGATGAGAGAACGATGAAGAGAAGGTAAATGTGGAGGAATGAAGGAAGAATTTTGAGCATTCTGAAAAATATTCTCAAGAAGAACTAAAAATATCACGGGAAACAAATGGAGGAGGGATGGAGCTGTGGAGGAATGAATGGCGGACAAAAGAAATGGAGGAATGAAATGGCTGGACGACGGTGAAATGAAAATGGAAAAAATTGAATGAAAGAAAAAATGCGCACGCAGAATGAAAAAAAGAAAAAGAGAGAAATAGAAAGAAAGAGAGAGAGAGAGAAAGAGTGAGAGAGAAAAAGAGAAAGAAAGAAAGAAAGCGAGATAGAAAGAATGAAAAAAGAAAGAGAGAGAGAGAGAGAAAGGTAGGATGAGAGGAACGCAAAATACAATAAACGAGTAATCGAGCGGTGAAGCCTGAGGAAGAAAGAGAAAAAAAAGAGAGAAAAAAAGAGTAAGTAGAAACAAAAAAGAGAGAGAACAGGAATGAGCTTTAAAGAGAGAAAGAAGGAGAAAAGAGAGTGAAAAAAGAAAAGAGAGAAAGAGAAAACAAAAAAGTGTTGTTGAGAAACAAATGAGAGAGATAACGAGTGAGAAATGAAGAACAAAAAGAGAGAAAGAGAGAGAGAGAGGAAGTGCCATAGGTAAAAAGAAAGTGAAAAAAAGAGAGTTAAAAAAGAAGCGAAATAAATAATGAAACACAGCCTGAAGATAAAAAGATGAGCGAAGCTAGTGGACAAATATCATGGAGGAAGAACAGATGAATGGATGGATGGATGGATGGACGGATGGATGGATGGATGGACGGATGGATGGATGGATGGACGGATGGATGGATGGATGGACGGATGGATGGACTTCATTTGCATATAAAACTGGACACATCAACTCATCAATTGTGAAACTCCTGTTGCTCTCTCTCTTTTTCTCTCTCACTCTCTCTCTCCATATACTTCTACACTTCTACTTTGTGGTACTTGTGGTTTTCACGATATTTGAGCTAATTGTGGATTTTGAGTTAATAATAATAATAATAATAATAATAATAACAATAATAATAATAATAATAATGTATCATTCAGACGTTGCCCTCTGGAGCACTCCTAATTTTTGTAGCGCCCTACTTTACCCTAGCGAGGGCGCTGCTTGCTTGCTGCTGCAGGCAAAAGTTCCATATCCCTGATGTCCCCAAAAGTGTCCCGGATGTTTTGTGCGTAACGAGTGTGTGTGTGTGTGTGTGAGTGTGTGTTGGCGTTTTGCATATTTGAGGTAGATATGGTAATTGTGATACTTTGACTGGTCTTGCTATTGTGTGTGCGTGTGTGCGTGTGCGTGCGTATGTTGTTGCGTGTGTGTGTGCATGTGTGTGTGTGTGTGTGTGTGTGTAATTTTTTTACAATCTTAGTATTCTCTAGTATTTTGTATGTTTGCATGTATTTTAGGTTAAAGGTTAAAGGTCAATCTCAAACGTACCAACGACGAACGCACACACACAGCGTATATGAACGCATGTGATAGAAGTGGATCTCTCTGCAATCGAAGCCAGTCCCTGCAACAGCCGCAGAACAAACCTGCAGTCCTCACTGAGCCATCAACGTATTTATGGAGATTTGGCATAAATGGTTTTGTATTAATTTGAAAACTGAGTGACTGTCAACCAACGCAACTGCTCGCTGTGGTAACTGTTGCAGCTACTACTACTGCTAAATGTTGTAGTAGTGGTAGTAGTAGCAGTATTAGTAGTAGTAGTAGTAGCAGTAGTGGTAGTAGTAGCAGTAGTAGTAGCAGCAGCAGTAGTAGTAGGAGTAATAGTAAAAGTTGTAGTAGTAGCAGTAGTAGTAATAGTAGTAGTAGTAATAATAATAAAAGTTTTAGTAGTAGTAGTAGTAGTGGTAGTAGTAGTGGTAGTAGTAGCTGTAGTAGTAGTAGTAGTAGTAGTAGTGGTAGTAGTAGTGGTAGTAGTAGCTGTAGTAGTAGTAGTAGTAGTAGTAGTGGTAGTAGTAGTGGTAGTAGTAGCTGTAGTAGTAGTAGTAGTAGTAGCAGTAGTGGTAGTAGTAGTATTAGTAGTAGTAGCAGTAGTGGTAGTAGTAATAGTAGCAGTAGTAGTAGTAGCAGTTGCGTTGGTAAACAGTATGAAAGAAATAATATCAAAAAAACTCTGTCTGATACGTGAGTGAGATACTGATGAGGAAGATGAGTGGAGGAATGAAAGAGGAGAGATATGAATGAAAGAGAGAGGCTAGGGAATGTTTGTTATACGTTGTTGTTGTTGTACGTTGTATATGTTGTATATGTTGTTGTTGAATTCGTTGTATGGTATTAAATGTTATTTGTTGTTATTATTATTATTAATGTTGTAGTAGTTGTTGTTTTATTTATTATGATTATAACTATTGTGGTTGTTATCTGTTGTCGCTGTTATTATTATTATTATAATTATTTTTATTATTATTATTTTATTATTGTTGTTGTTGTTGTTGCTTTTGTAGTTGTTGTTGATGTTGTTGTTTTTATTTAAATCTGTCGGTGTTGATGTTGATTATGGTAGTAGTAATAGTATTCTAGTGGAATAATATTATTATTAGTAAAAGTAGTAGTAGTAGTAGTAGTAGTAGTAGTAGTAGTAGTAGTAGTAGTAGTAGTAGTAGTAGTAGTAGTAGTAGTAGTAGTAGTAGTAGTAGTAATAGTAGTTGTTCATGTTGAGTTGTTATGTTTTTGATGTTGCATTGATTGATTGCCGTTGTTGTTGTGGATGTTGTTGATGTTGTTGATAATGTTGTTGTTGTGAATGTTGTTTATGTTGTTGTTGATGTAAAAGTTGATGTTGATGTTTTTGTTGATGCTATCAACAACAACAACAACAGCAACAAAAACAACATCAACAACAACAACAACAACAGAAACAACATCATCAACAACAACAACAATATAACCAACAACAACAGAAACAACATTGACAACAAATTTTGGACGTTTTTAATGTTTATTTTTTGTTAATGTTGAATTGAAGTAACAACATCAGCATCGGCACTCACATACAAACAAACACAAATACACACATAAACACTGCATACAACAACATCATCAACAACAACAACATCAACACACACATACACATACAAAAATAACATAAACAACAACTCTCGGATCAATTTCATCAACAACAACTACATGAGCAACATCAATACTGACAATAATTTAAACATAAACTACATTATCGAGTTTGTATAAATAACAACAACATCAACAACAACAACAGCAACAACAACAACATTATCAACATCAGAACGTTAATCTCAACAAAAGTATATACCCAAAGCAACAAACACAATAACCACAACAACATCATCAAACAAAATATACAGCAACAACAACGCCAACAACAACAACAACATCATCATCAACAATTTGTATAATATTTATTTAGTGTTTTATCGAGACTGCGTAGATAACAACAACATTAATAACAACAACAGCAGCAACAACAACAACAACATCAACAACAACATCAACAACAACAATAACAACAAGTTGTTATATAAAAACATAGACTCGTACGTAAAAATTCTCAAAATGAAAAAGGTTTTTTTTTCAAACATCAAATACACTGGCTCAGAAATCATACATAATTTATTACTAATACATTAAAGAGCGAAAACATAAACAGCAACAAAAAACAACAACAACATCAACAACAACATCAACCATAACCCCAACAACAACATCAATAACAACATCAACAACAACAAAAAACAACAACATCAACAACAACATCAACCATAACAACAACATCTACAACAACATCAACAATAACCCCAACAACAACATAAATAACAACATCAACAACAACATCAACAACAACAACATCAACAAAAACAACTTCAACAACAACTGCATTGACAACAAATTTTTTATTCTCCGCGTATCGAGAGCTCGGCAACTAGAATTTATTATTTTAGATGTTTTTGTTATTGTTGTTGTTGTTGGTGTTATTGTTAATGTTGTTGTTGATGTTGTTGATGTTGTTGTTGTTTTTAATGTCGTTGTTTATGATGTTATTTTTGTTGTTAATAATGATGTGTTGTTGTTTTTACTGTTGTTAATGTTGTTGTGTTGTTGTATTGTTAATGTTGTTGTGATGTTGTTGTTGTTGTTGTTGGTGGTGGTGATGATGACAAAACTACACTTGGAAAGCATAAAAAAACTTAAAGTGCAACAAAATCTAATAAACTTTATTTAACATTCTACAATCATCATCGTGATCCTCCTCACCATCATCATCAACAACTAAAGATTAAATACAACATCAACATCAACAACAACATCAACAACATCATCAA